CCCCAAAACCCCAAAACCCCAAAACCCCATGTTGCAATCGAGCTATTGAAAAAATAGTATAACAGCGTATTTCAATCGAAATGGAGATAATCTCTAAAGACAAAAGATATTGTAAAGACTTGTTAAACCTTGTGCGACAATGCTATTGCTAGGAGACCCTCACATTGTGCACTCTGTAAGAGGGTATAGACAATAAGTACTTTCCTCGATAAATTAAGTAATAAGCTTCATTATGATTTCCTATCCTTAATCGATAAATTTCTTTGCTTCGAGCGTACCTTTTTCAGGCTAGAACTTTTCTTCTTCCTCACAGAAGATCTAGAACTTGAATGAGTCGACCTAGCTTGATCCTGATCTCTCCAAAAAGCTGTAAGAGGTAAGCTAGATAAGGTCTCTGATAACTTATCATCCTTTATACAGCTAGTAATGACGTGTTGGAGAAACTTCTTAACACTTTGGACATTATCATAAGGGTTGTTTTCCTTTGCTCTCTCCTGTAGGATTTGCAAACCTGTGACTCCCAAAGAATTCTCAATGTGGATATCAACATGCTCCTTTTTCATGAGGTTGAACATTGATATCAATTCAGCTTCGTTACTCTTCGTGTTGGTGCACAGGTTATGGAACGGGGTGTTCCCATCATCATCCTTACAAAAGATCAGGTTAGGCTCTCGCTCGAGAAGTGGCTCGAATAACTCCAAGTGGCCTTGTGTTCAGCAAAAGTGTAACAGCCCTTGCCCGGTATAGGTATCTCGTGCGTATCTAAGATCTTTTAGCTCAGAAGATTTCATGAGATTCTCTCAGTGCTCGATGGAAATCTTAAGTTTATCCCTCATTCATTCAGAAAGAAGGATCATGGCGTGATTAGCTTCCTTTTCTTTATTTTTCAGCAGCTTCTTCATGACTTCTTTTAGGGTAGGTCGTTTCTTGTCAATTTTCTTGTTAGAGCTGTCAAAGGTATCGCAGCTGGACTCCATCTCTGAAGCAAGGCTGAATTCTGGCTTGGTGTCCCACTGAGTGTTAGCTTTCCGTCTCTAAAATACAAGATTATCCCAAGATTCTCCATAGATTGCTAAATAAAACTCAAGGTATCATACAACCTTAGATCTATTTTATAATACCTAAAAATGTTGTAGGCCAGAAAGAATTTTGGATGGCTAGGGACCACGGTCGATAGGGGAGATTCTATGCTCCTAAGCATGCTGGTCAGATCCACTCTTCTAGCTGTGGCCGAAAGATCGATTTATGAGGGAAATATAGCTAATTTTGGCACAACTCCTCATGGCCTTCCACTCTATTTCTAAGGATACTCTCGCTCAGAGTTACATGATTTAGCATAAGAAGATATGCCGATGAAGGTGCCTCACAGCTTACATGAATAATTCAAATCAACAACTGGAGTTATAAATTTTGATAGTTTAACTTACATGAACTGCAAAGTGAGGCGTATCTGTTGTCTTACTCAAATTCCCTCTACTCTATAAAATCTGTAAGGAACAAAGCATTGAACGAAGCAATGGCAGTACATTCGCCTCAAGCTTATAAGTAAGAGACCTCAAAAATAAATAGCATGTTCATTTAGGTCACAAATAGGACAAATTTGTAATTAGAATTAAATGATAACTTACTTTGTCACTTTTTACCAGTGATTTCTCTGAGAATTCGAATGAATTGGAGCTCTTGGCACGAATTCTTCCTGATGGAGCATCTATACTTGTTGGCATACGAAAAGTTACTCATTTCACGTATTTGTGCTTGTGTACAATTGCCCATTTTTCTATTAATGACGATCAAATAATAATTTATAAAATTGTCAAATTCAATTGGAGTGAATAGAGGTGGGGTTTTGGGGTTTTGGGGTTTTGGGG